CTCTTTCCACTGCAAAACCCCTACTGTAATCCTAAAAGCTGACAAGAACCAGGAGAGTCAGTCCAGCAATGATGATGCACCACCTCCCAGATCACCCCACTGTCACCTCCAATCTCTTTCTGGAACCCAAGGATTGTATGGAATACCCGAATCCAGTGATTCTCAACCAAGGTGCTGGGGCATATTCAGAGAAGTGTAAGTAATTGGGTATCTGCTATCCATCTTGAGACAACAATTATCTTCTATAGGGTGATCTGGGAAGATTTATTATTATTTGTGTTACGGTACTGCTCCAAGCGTGTCAGGCACCGTTCAAACATTTACTGCCTGATCTGAAGCCCACTGCTGTCAAGAAAAGTTTATGAACATGAAAAGAGTTCAGGTAAGTCAATAAGGAGAAATAATCTCTGTCACAAAGAGCCCACACAACAAGGGCAACAAAATAAGTGCAGATGTGTGGGGGTGGTTACAAGCAAAATTACACTTTTTCATTCTTAATGCAGGGACTCTTCTTTTCTTTTTAGAGCAGGAGTCAGCAATCTATGGCCATTTTATCTGGCCCATGGAGCTGGGGGTCTTTACCTATGCCATGAGGAGATGCAACCATACCAGTGGCCAGGTCAGAAGCAGCACCCCACCTTGCACCTGAACTGGGCTGCTTTGGCTTGCTGCTCATAAAATGCTGTGAACCACTGCTATAGATAAATCAATGGTTATAAGAAACCATTATTTCCCTCTTAGCGTAGCTTAGCAAAACACAAGCAGGGCCTGATTCTCTCGTGCACCAGGTATTAGGGCTGTGCAAAGCTTCAGTTGCTGATTCGATTCGGAGGAGATTTGGCCCAATTCACTGGCCAAATCTGTGAATCCGAATTGAGTTGGGAGCCCAATAAAAAGGTCTGAATTGATCTGGAAAAGATTCCGAGAAGATTTGGAGATTTGGACAGTCCTCGCTCGCTGCTGCAGGGAGCTGGACCAAGGCTCCATGCCAGTAAATAGGGGGCTGGGGAGGGGGAGATCAAGGAGAAAGGAGGAGACCATGGGGGATCCCCACCAGCTGCCTTGAGCACCCACCAACTCCTACCTGGTCTCCCACCCCCATCAATGGCTGCCCTACCTGGCCCAAGCATCCCAGCACTTAAAAAAAAAAAAAAAAAAAAAAAAAAAACCCACAAAAAAAAAAAAAGACACACTCACTGGCTGCTGCAGCGGCCATCGGGGCCTCTGGGGACTTGTGGCACAGCCCCCACCCCAAGCAGCGTGGGGCTGTGGGGATCACTCCCCCACCTGGCAGCAGCTGGTGAGTGCTGAGTTTTTGTGGGTTTTTTTAAGTGCCAGGACACTGGGGTCAGGCAGGGCAGTCATTGACAGGACTGGGAGAGCAGGCAGGGGATGGTGCCTGTTTGATTCAGAAATTCAGTAGCGGTCCAATCTCCGAATCAGGTTCGGCCAAATCGAATCAGGACAGTAATTTGTACCACTGTCCCGCTAATCAGCTGAATCCGAATCTAAAGTAAATACCAGCTGCTTCATGCAGGCCTACCAGGTATAGTTTGTGCCACTCAGAAAGACTGGATGTTTCCAGAAATATCACCTACTGCCTGCATAGGAACACTCTTGTGAACACAAATGTCCACAGCAAGATTGGGGCTCCTGTTCATACTTGGCTTAAGGACTGTGTTTGAATGGAGTACACTAAACCAGTACTGCACTCAGATACAGTTCATTAAGAAATCTACATCAGTAGCACAACTTAGAACATTTCAGAAGTAGCTCTGCCTGTGGATGCAGATAGAAGTGACAATTTTTGCCTGATCTGGCCACCAAAAGAGGTTTATAGCCATGACCAAACAAGTGCATGGCTGCAGAAAGCTTAAAAATGGCTAACCGAGTGAAAATCTGAACCCTCATTGCATGAGGGGTCAGATGAAGACGTTTAAAAACAGTGTCTTCTGTAACTTCTGCCTGTGCTGCCTCCCAGCCTCAAGCTGTTTTCAGAAAGGAGGGGCCAGAGGGGAAGGAGTGGGTGAGTTTTTTTCAGCCCCTGCTGAAGGATGAGGTGGGTGTATTGGAGTGCCCCCCAAGGTGGGGGGGGGGCTCCAAATCACACCCTCCACCCTCCAGTACTGGCTAGGGGACCCTTAGTACAAGCTCCCTCTGCTTCCTTTCCCACTTTCCATTCTGAAAACTTTGAAAACTCACAGGGAGGAGGGGCCATCGCTACAGGAAAATGGCTACAGGCTCAAAGCCAGCGCCTAGATTCTCCTCCCGCTTGGATCCGACAGTGAACTTCTGTTTGTTCCAGGGGATTGTTGTAACTCAGATGCTCCCTGCAGTGTTCTCAGTTACAGCGGGGAGCTGCACTTCTCTCTGCACCCTTTGTGGTAGGGTTATGAATTGCTATTGGAACCACAGAACCAGTTTCCAACCCTAGCCATGCACCCTGCTGACTGTACTCCAAGCACATTTTTTAATTGCAGGAGAGCCCAGTCCATTCTGTAGCAATGATAGGCTCATTTCTTTTGAGAAAGTTAACTCAAGCATAGATTTGACATATTTTGAGGTGTTACTGTTTATAGACAGATGCAAAGCAACAGTTTTCTTGATTTCTACATTTACAGAGACTTTTTATACTACCTCCTCAAACCATTCATTTTTAACTACCTTCATAAATATCAAGATCAGTTTGCAGCTCAGGGGACTAATTCATCTCCCAGTAAAGTCCATGAAAAGATTCCAATGGACCTTGGACCCAGTCCAAACGAAGAAAGTGGCTAATTTGCAGCATTCTCCTAAATAAAAGTATTCCAAAGCAATTTCTCAGGAATGTACCTCTAGGAAATACTTGGCTTGCAGATTTGTTAAACAGCCTCAGGTTTATTTTGAAATGCAAAAAGGATACTCTGATATTTTTATTTGTAAAGCTTTCTGCATTACAGGAATTGTTCTAATTTCTGATGACTAGTCTCCATTTCCTGTAGCAAAGC